TGCGCAGCTCCACAGCTTGGCATTGCCTTTGAGAGGAGGTACCTAAGGGAGGGAGATTGTTTCTGCAGGATGGGAATAAAGGGTGGCTACAGGGGTGCTTGTAGAAACAGTGCTGTAACTTTTCCTCCCTGTGTTGTTAGAAAGCATGTTGCTACAGCACCGCAATAAAATCAGGGCCATTACACCATGTACTCTTTCAGTATTTGTGTGAAGAGATGTACAAGCGAACAACAAACCTGCTTGAGGCCATAGAGCAAGACAAGGACAGACCTTGGAGAAAAAAAAGTTTTTTTCTTTTTCAATCCCAACCATTTGCACAAAGCATTTCACCACTTCACCTTCTTTTCTCACCATGAATCTCCCCTTCCCCACATCAGCTGCCAGCACAGAGCCCTACCTAAAGGCAGAGCTTGGCTTGGACTCTGATCTCCTGTGACACATTTTCTGTTTAGTGCTGGAAATCGCTGCTTTAAACTGCAACTTGAGCCCTGTCTGGGGACACAGGCTCTGAGTCACCTCTAGCAGCAGCTGATTTACAGGCAGCCCTTCAAAGCTGTCCCAGCTCACTGCTATTATCTTGATCTCACTGGTACCTTCCTCAGTATGAAAGCACAGGTTATCCTCTCGCTTGTTTGCAATGCCTAATTAGGCCCAAGATGTAAAAACCAGGCTGACCTTTAACAGCTCTTTGTACTGGGCAGAAGAGCTGGATTTGCAGTTTCAGACTGCTTGTTGGTAATGATGGTTTCCCTCTCCTGTGAAAAAGCACAACTTGAAAACAGAAACCACAGAGAAAGCTGCTGTGTTCTGCTCTGGAGAGCATCTGTGGGGGACACATCTGCCACACGTGTTTAATGAAGGTACTGGAGTACCCACACATGGAATAAACACTGAGATGGAGCGGTTTATTGTCCTAACTTCCTCCCACAGCTCATGGCTCCAGCGGGGAGCACAGCTGGATCACACAGGATCCAGCTGCTGGATCACACAGGAAGCTGCTGAATTACACAGGATCCAGCTGCTGGATCACCAGGTTTCCAGCTTGACTTTTTACACTCTCAGTGCAAAGAACAGGCGTTGAAAGGGTGGTTGGCCTCTGACCTGGAAACTCCCTCAGCAGGAGCATAATCTGTGCAATTTAGTGAGAGTATCTTGTGGCTTTAAGAGTTGGTTACCCTGCAGTTTACAGCCTAATGTCACAGGCAAATGACAAAACTCCATCCAGCTGGATCACACAGAAAGCTGCTCCAGAACCAGGCTTTTATAGCCCAAAGTTTTGAAAAAAAACCAACCTGGAACTTATTGGAGCAATTTGAGAAGGTGAGATGTACAAGGACATGACTGCATAATATATATAGTCTGTGTGTATAAATATATACACATACACTCCTGGGAAAGGCATGAGGCAGGAACAGCTTCCTCTCCCACGCTTTGATCTGGTGTCTCACCTTTTCCTGGATACTCTTGGAGCAGAGATCCCCACACTGAGCAGTCAGAAACAACTGGGTGCTCCCACAACCTGCACTGGTTTTGTTCTGGGCAATAACCATCCCATGCTGGGCTCTGGGTCACTTTGTGAAAGGTAACCAAAGGCTTTGGACTCTGAGAGACACACTCCATACCAGGACAGAACTATGGGAAGCAGTCAAAAAGATGCGTTACAGTGGAAAATAAACTGTGCTGCACAAACAAGAAGAACAAAGAATGAATAGATCAAATCCAGCCCAGGTGGAAGGGAAGAAGCTGTGTGGGAAAAGGAGCTGCTCATAACAAAGCAGGGCACTTGTACAAACCCCTGAAACGGCAAGAAATTTATTTGTTTCCTCAATGGCTCTTGACATCACAAGCCATGATCATGTTTCCATCACTTATTTTCAAAACTTAAGGGTTTTTCATACAACAGAGGACAAAACACTGGTTTCTTGTTACATGGTGGATGTCAATACTGCACAGTGCCAAGAAACACAGCTGCCCTGCTGAAAAAGCCTTCCCTCACAAATCTAGCATGTTTCAAGGGGTTTTCTCCCACTGCTTGGAGAAAGAGTCTGCATGCATTAAAGAGGTGAACAAGAGTGAAAATTATTTCAGCAATGTTACCAGAACTTTCCCATCTCCCACTTAAACATGTTTTTGTTAGCCACAGAGTGCTCTAAAATTGTTTGATGTTTTTCACTATGTTTGCACCTCATTGTTTCTGCTGGCGGTGGCACTTCCAGGATTTGGGGTCGGCAGACCAAACAGTCTGACCCCAAGGAGACGATTGTGGTAACACCCTGTGAGGTGATCCATGCTCCCAAACAGAACAGAAAGTCTGGGCCACAGTGTTACTGTGTGTAGTGCTGCCCACATTACATTTGAAATAGAGGGAATTAAGCTGTGTTCTGAGGAAATGAGGAAATGAGACCTTCTGTTTCCATCTGCATCCTCTGCTTTCCATCCTGCAGTACTATATATGGAAATAGCTAAAGTTATATATTTTCTATGGAAGACTTCTTCATTGGAGAAAATACCCTCAACAAATTCTAAAATTCCTTCATAGAAAGCAGCCTGTAAATTAAAAAAAAAAAACAAAACCCAAAATGAAACTAACCAAACAAAAAAAGAAGCAAACCCAAAGACAGTTGATATTTAGAATTCTACCATTTGATTCCTTTACTGAGTTACAAGCTTGTTGTATTCCTCTATGCTTTTCACTAAACACAGATTACAAACCTTTGCAAACAAAACAAAAGAGTTGGGTAATGCAGTAAGTAATCTGGAATTTAATTCAAACTAGGCCTGGGCTAAGCAGAAAATAAACAAAAGAGGCTGTGTAGGATTTCTCAGCATCAGAGGCTGCATATTTGGTAGAAAAGGTTCTCTTGTTAAGGACTGTTTTCCTTGTTGAATTGGCTGTGGTTTATATGAATGTTATCCCACCTGTACGTACATTTTCTAAAATACTGCATGTTCTAATCACAGAATCAGAGAACGGTTTGGAGGTGACCTTAAGCATCACTTAGTTCCAACACCAATAATCAGATTCATCTGTTCACTGCACCCTTTCTCCTTTTATGGAAGACTTGCTTACCAGCAGGCAGAGGGGTTTGTAAAGGGAAGTACAAAGACTTGCAAAACCCAGAACTTCCTTTGTGACTACCTAAGGACTCAGTTTGGGTGAGAATCAGACTTTCTTTTAGCCTTATATGGCAATCCTACAAAAACCCGAAGGCAAATCAGGTGAGAAGCTGTGAAGTTACAGCTCCTACAGCAGCCAGTTACAGGCAGAGCTGAACAACACAAACATAAAAGGCCATGAGGGGTAGGTTTGGATGATACCTTTTAAAGTCAAAAGGATTTTGTGCTGAGGTCACCCTACAGATGATCAGAGGGCCCAGCCTACAACTAGTTTAATCAAATATTATTGCAGGATTTCACTGTGACTGCAGATGCCTTGTGAAACTTCATGTGCCATCAAAACAGGAGACACTGAGCCTAATGGCATTAAAAGGGGTGAAATGATTTTTGTGTTCAGAAACTTCTGTTTTGGAGCCTAAAACATGGAAGGGCCTTTTATAATTTAACTCTTTTAACTCAAATGTGACCTCTATTGCAAAGGGTACAGTTCTGCAATATAATATAACTGAAATGCTGAGTAATAACTGGAAGTGAAAAGCATCAGCTGTGTTTCCTCCATGTGACTTACAGCAGGGCTTATCTGCACTCCAGGCTGCAAGAGGCTTCAAACTGAACGGCTTATTTGGACCTACAGTGCCAATCTCTCCTTCCCAGGAGGTGAACATACCCCAAAATACCCTGCTGAAAAGTGCCTCCGGTGTGATAATGCCATTTCTGGAGTTCTCAGATGCCTGTGGCTGAGAGGGCTGGAGCTCTGCTCACTGCATGTGTGAGTGCAGCTAATTATAAGCTCTTTGGAGCAGAAATCCTGTCTGTCTCAGAGTCTTTGGCACAGCAGGGTCCCTTTCTCAGCTGGCCTTCAGTGAGAGCTCAGTGCGAGGTATGAATCATATCAAAGGTGAATCAGAACGATTCTGAGTCACTGACACCAGAGAGTAACAACCTTAACATATGTATACAAGACTAATGAGCTGCAAAATTTCTCCGTTCCAACTCAAGAGAGGAGAAAAAATTATTTTAAAGAAACTAAAAGATAACTGAGGTAAACCACCTGTGCTTGATATAAACACAGAGCTGCTTAGCTCATAATTTATATTCTATTTCCTTATCTTGAAATAATTTATTTTAACTGAAGGAGACTTACCTGAACTAAGACTTGAACTGAAATGAGGATTACCTGGAACTAAGGTCATCTAAATTTTCTGTGGTATTGGAAAACTAATAAAACCAAACCTACTCCAATTTATTAAAGTAAAAAAAATATACCGTTTTTAAAATAAATAGCTTGGGGTTTTGTGGTTTTGTTTTTTTCACTCTGCAATCAAACACAGGTCTAACACCAGTTCACAAAATTAGCCACAATTGTTTATAGAACCTTCTTTTGTGTTTTTCCTCTTTTTTATACACCAGTGTATTCTAAAATGTCCTTAAAAGGCATCTTTGTGTATTCTCACTTTCTGACTGGCAGAAACAAAGCACTCGAGACACTTCCCCAGCTCTGCTGAGTAGCTGAAAATACACATGAGGAAGTGACGACTCATTTAAGGAGAGCTGCGAATTGCTGCCCTTACGCACCAGGTTTCCAGCTTGACTTTTTACAGTGCAAAGAACAGGCGTTGAAAGGCTGGTTAGCCTCTGACCTGGAAATTCCCCCAGCAGGAGCATAATCTGTGCGATTTAGTGTGAGTATCTCGTGGCTTTAAGGGCTGGAGTTTACACCCTAACGTCACAGGGAAGTGACAAAACTCCATCCAGGAGCAGCAGGAAGCTCGGGTTCGGTTGAGGGGCAGGGCAGACAAACCCACAGCTCACAGTCAGCTCTGTCACAAACGGGCAAGGCTTGAATAAAAAAGGATAAATTGGAGCTAAACCAGGCCAGGTACCTTTCAGCAGCTTTTGACTGATTCTGGAGAAACAGGGTCTTGAAATCATCATTTCTTTGTGAAGATGATACTTGCCACTCAGAATTAGCTGGCTGGTTGTCAGTGCAAGGTCTTACAAGAATCTCAAGTCTTGTATCTCCAGACTGAAAAGAAGTCCTACAGAAGGAGATAAAATATGAAACACAACCAATAAAACAAACAAATGTAAAAATCCAATTGCACGTGAAGCAATACATCCACAGAAAGACTAACCTTTAAAAATAAATTAAAGAAGAAAAAGTTAACTTGAATGAAAACACTTTGTTCTTCTCATTGTGCACGTTTCACTTTGTGGAAGTTCATTAACACTGATGGAAACCAAACACACAGCAGATTTTTTCCAGGACCTGCTCATGTAGCCCAGGGAGGGATTTCCACCAAGAACAGAGTTTTGTCCTCATGGTCATTATGCAGAGTTAATAGGAAAGGGATAAACTAATTTATTACACAGGTTTTACTTCTAACACACAGTGTGTAAAGGGGGAATCCAAGCCCGCTCGGAGCGATGCTGAAGCCCGCAGTGTGGGGAACTTCCTAAACATGCGATGCCATCGTGTGGGCAAAGACATCTCCAGCACTTTCCAGAGGAATGTCATTGAATCCTGGAATGTTTCGAGCTGTTTTGAGCTAAAATGATCATCTCAACCCTGCTACGGGCAGGGGCAATTTCCACTAGCTCAGGATATATTCATATCCTATGAACATACCATTAATTATTTCATTTTTATTTTATGTCGTCCTGATCCTGCTGAAGGAGCTGGGGAACTCCTGTGCCTCTAGTGGTGATAAGAGAGAATCTGGAAGAGCATCCACCCTGGAATTCTGGTCAATCTGTTCCTGAGCTGGCAACAGGAAGAGTATTCTATAGGTTTTTATGAAATTTTGCACCTGTGAAGGTTAAAAAAATTCCCCCCACAATTCAAAAGTGTGATTTAAGTTAATCAAGACTTTTATTCATTCCTGAAAAAGAGCAAAACAGTGGGAGCTCTGCCATGGTTAGTGCAGATAGAATCACAGATTGGGTTGGATTAGAAAGGACCTTAAAGCTCATCTCATTCCAACCCCTGCCATGGGCAGGAACACCTTTCACTAGCTCAGGGTGCTCCAAGCCCCATCCAACCTGGTCTTGAAAGCTTCCAGGGATGGGACATTAATAACTTCTCTGGGAAACTATTTTTTCCCCCTAAATTCTCTTCTTTTGTACATTTCTGCTTTCTGTTGAAAACACACTGATCAGACTATAATTAAAGTCATGGTACCTTGTTGCAGGAATACTCACAACACCAGATTTGTGTGAATTTGCCCATCTCTGGAAGGAGAAGGAGGCTTCATACAGAGCTCAGGCTGTTAAAAAAATCAACCAGAATCAGACAAAGCATGGACAAAAATGGTGTCACTGCTCTGAATGTGAAGGCCTTGGTGTGCTGCAGGAACCAAACCCTGTAGCTGAAAGAACAAGAATAATACAAATGGGATGAAAAGTTGCCAACCTGAAAAAAAGTGAGTTGTGGGACCAGAGTTTTGCAACCACTGAGGTTATAATTTTTTCTCCCAAGCCTTCACATGCCTGATTGAAGGCATGGCCAGTCCTTGTCACCTTGCGTTTGTCCCCTAGCCCATGTACAGCCTTTTTACCTCTCAGCCTCACACCAGCCTGATTTTGCCAGTCAGGAGACAGAAACTGAACCTGTTCATTGACACATTGTTGTGCTTTTCCTCCACTCCCCACTGCCATTGAAACTGACCAGAGCCGGAGCATTTACCCTGAAAGTGACCTGTGTGTGTATTTACTACACACAGTGTATTTACTACACACAGGCACACCCAGCTTTTCCCTTCCCAAAGCCATGAGCTGTTTCCAGCACAGATCAGGGCCAGCAACACCTTCACCCACACACCTTTCTAGGACCTTCCCAGGATAATTTCTGGGATGGTTTTTAAAATGCTTCAGCACAGGGCACCTGGCACCTCAGCCCTGACAGGAGCTGTGAAGGGTGGTTGCTGTGTGCCAGCTACAGCTCTGAATTTTTACTCTTTTTGAAACACTTTTTAGGGCCAGGGAGGCTGAGGGAAAAGGGATGCCTCAGGAAGAAGGGTCCCCTCAGGGAGGAGGGTTCCTGGAAAAGCAGGGTCTCCTCAGAGAAAAGGGTTCCTTAAAAAGCAGGGTCCCCTCAGGGAAGAGGTTTTCATGGAAAAGCAGGGTCTCCTCAGGGAAAAGGGTTCCTGAAAAAGCAGGGTCTCCTCAGGGAAAATGGTTCCTGGAAAAGCAGGGTCACCTCAGGGAGGGCGGTTTCCTAAAGGAGAGTCTCTCCAGGAAAAAGGGTCCCCTCAGGGTGGAGGAGTCCCCTCAAAATGGAGACTTTGCTCAGGGCGGAGGGTTTCCTCAAAAATGAGGGAAATGTCCGCTCAAAAATGAGGGTTTCCTCAGGGAAAAGCGTTCCCTTAGAGACAAGTCCCCTCAAGGCTGAGGAAGCCCTGATGGAGGCGGGGTGGCTCTCGCTGCGTGCGGAGCTCTCAGGCTGCCTCCTCACCGCCCGCCTGTCCCCTCCAGATCGCGGGGGCAACACCGCTGCTCCTGGCCTTCCCCGCCTTCCTCCATCCCCGCCTTCCTTCACTTCCTCCACCCCTTCTCTGCCTTCCTCCATCCCTTCCCTGCCTACCTCGCTCCGCCCGTCCCTCCCCGTGGCCGAGGGCCGGCCCCGCGCTCCGCCCCGGCCGTGCGGGCGGAGGTGCCGGATGGCGCCGGCCGGGCCCGGGCCGGTGTCACAGCGCGGGGCCCATCGGGGGCTGTCGAGGGCCGGGCCGGTGTCACAGCCCGGGGCCCATCGGGGGCTATCGAGGGCCGGGCTCGGGCCGGTGTCACAGCCCGGGGCCCTGCCGGTAAGCGAGGGGCGGGTGGTGGACTCGGCCCAGCCCCAGCCTCGTCACCGGGATGGGGCGGGAGCTGCTGCCACCGGCTGCGGAGGATGGGCAGTGCTGAGCTAAGCTGGGCACACCGGGAATAAACCCTTCAAAGCCCCCTTTTCGCTGCTTAAATTAACGACATGTCCACGGTCTGTTTTTTAGGTTGTAGTGGTTTCCATTCAGCCCTCGGTGTTTACCCCACGATCGGCGTCTTCCTCAGGCAAACAAGGCTTTAGGCCTGAAGGTGAAGCAGCCACAGCCCGGCCTCTTGTCTACGGTAAACAAAGTTAACGACAGGAATATTGCATTGGGCTCAGCAGTGTGTCCTTCAGAAAAGGCTGAAGGGCTGTGTGATGGGCTCGTCTACAAAGGAGAGGTGTTAGGAAGGATATGGAATTTACAGAAAAAAACCCTGCAAAATGATGTTTAGGTTCCATATCTGATATTTTTCATATTGCCACCCCAGGCTTGTGTCTTCCTTGGACAGGTGGGAAGGCTGTTGGCAGTGGTGGCCGTCACTGTGGTCATGGTGGAATTTGAGGTTTCGGGCATCGTTAGGTCTGCTGCTCCAAAGGGGAGGGCAAAGCACATGGCCCAGACACACTAAAAATCAATCTGTAGTGCAGGTGATTCCTGGGACATTGAGAGAAATAGTTGTACCACTAAAAGTATAAAATAAACAAAGAAACCCCAAACCAACCCTCACCGCCAGCTTTAATTCTGTGGGTACCAACTCCCAATGATTGATTTATTGGTTTTATAAAAATCTGTGTGTTTTTAATGGGTCTTGAGTTGTGTTCCTAACTGTTTTTGTTCCTTTATTTCGAATTATTTCTATAGTGTGTCCATGAAAAAACCCACTCTTAAGTGATTTTCAGAGACTTTGCAGTGATGGTGTTTTAGTACCACATTATGTTGGCAAACTTAGGTTCAGTCCATTAATGCACCAGAAAGATGCAACATAATCTGTCATAACAAATCCATTATCAGGCTTTTCCCTTCATGTTAGGGATGTAATCCAGCTGTCAAACTCACGGTCATTTTGTGTAAACTAATTTTACCATTAGATCATATTGGTTTTTCCATTTGAGAGAGACTTGACTGAGGTTGGCCAGGGTGGTTTTAGCCAAGAGCTGTCAGACTGTCAGCTTTTAAAGCACAGTTACTGTTCACAGGTCTTCTCCAGGTTCATAAGCCTTGGTGAACACAGAGACTAAACAGTAGTTTTAATAATTTCCTGTAAGGCTGCCAATTTGCTCTTCTTGTAAAGCTTGCACTGGTATGTCAGTCTGTTTGATGTGTCTTTCATGGCCCTTGTGATACCTTTCTGTGTTTAATGTTTCTTTTGATTTTTTTTCTCTTTGCTTCAGGTTGAAAAGATGGGGAATGCTGAAAGCAATGCCTATCAGAATCACCTTTCCAGATTTCTTCCAGAGGAGCAGTCTGACATTGATGGACTGTTTGACACCTTATCAGGATCCAGTGGCTCGTCTGGAGCAAAAAATGCCAAAGCTGCAAAGAAGACTGTGACTCTGGCAGCACTACAGGTAAGACAGTCTGTTATTCATCATATATCTGGGATGTAGTGCATTGAACAGAATTCCAGAAATAAACTATAAAGATGTGGTATTTTTTAAGGATTGTTCATCTCAATTTTTCATATTTTGGGGCAGGATGGATATTTTACTTTTTCTTGCAGTTTAACCAGAGTAGTGACTTTCAGATTTGCATTTATCTCTTAAATTGCACTTTTGGGTCCATTTGCAGTTTTCCTAATTCTGAAGTAAGTTAGGGTGTATGGAAATATTTTCACAGAGACCTGAAAAATGGGAAGAATATTTTTACCCCTGGAGTCTGTAGTGTGGGATCATTTACAGATTGTCTTGAGGGGCTGTCACAAAGTCAATTTTTATTTGGTTATGCCTGTCTCCCTTGACATATCACTGTCTCTAATCTCTTCACTTGTACTAAAAGGAGAGAATTCAATTTGACTTGATTAAGCTGTGGCTCCCTGTTTTAGCTAATTAACATGCATTATGCTTCTGATTAACTTTGCATTCATTTTCTAATCAAGAAAAGAGAAAAATGAGTCATTGGGAGCCTTAATAACTTCAGCTAGTCAGGAACTAAGTGGCCAGATGAATGTGGTGGTAAAGTGCAGTTTGATGTATATTACACAGATAATGGAGCCCAATTAAAGCTCATTGAGAGCAGCAGGTTATTTTAAGGTGTTCAGCAATGCCTGTGCATACAGACCAGCCTCAGCCTTCCTGCAGCCTGGCTGGCTCTGAGCTGCCACCAATTTTTGAAGCACTGCCTGGCTTTTCAGCACTAGTTCATCCACTGTCCTTGGTGCCAAAAATCAAAGGTAAAAGCAGACTGCAGGTCTATATTTTGAGTATTCGCTTTTACTCAGATTAATAAGTCTTTCAGGTAATTTTTTGAGATATCTGAACGTCCTTGTTTGGGACCTGGCAGAAATTCTCTTTCTAGCTTTGCCCCAGATCAGTGTGATCTTTGGTGAACATTTGCCTTTTTCCTTCCTGCCTTTTGTTTGCCAGCTGAAATTGAAATCTTTTGGAAGGTTTCCCGTAGGTGCAGGGAGAATGGCAATGGCATTTGTGCCTTGTAGGTGACAATGCTCATGCCTGGACTGAAGTGTGACAGATTTGATCCAACAACAATCTGGTACCACTGGTCCCAAGCACCTGGACCAGGACAGGCTGCACTGCTTAGCTGGGGAAGCAGGTGGAGCAGGAACCTCTTGATAATTTCATGAAGCCTTTTTAAAACAAGGGTTCTAAGCTGTCAGAGGTGTGAGTTAGATGGTTATTAAGGATTCCTTTTTTACACACCTCCCTTTTTCACACCCCAGGCCCACTCTTTGGAATAGCTAGAAGCAAAATGAAACAGCTCAGTGAAGTGGTGGGATTGGGTAGGGAGTAGGCAGGTAAATCAGCAGTGTGAAGTAAAAACCCTTGAGTATAATGCTTTAGTTGTGTTCCCTGCTGCCTCTCCCACTCGAGGCTCATAGAGGATTTTCAGAAAGCCTCTCAAAGGCAGCTGTATCCGCTGTGAGCATCCCTCCCTTGCTGTGGAGCACTCTGATGTGATGCTGTGGCTGATGTTGCTGCTGCTGCTGCTGCTGGAATCAGTGGGAGCTGTGGCACTGACGTCGGTGCCAGCAGCACAGAGCTCAGGGTGCTGGAGCTCTCATGCCCAGCAACAGCCATTAACAGCAAACAGCAGCAGCCCAGGTGGCTGCCCAGGAGTGGTATTGAGCCAGAATCAGCAATAGCAGCTCCCCTGAGTGGAGCTTCAGTTGGGCTTTCAGGCATGATGGGACTCCACTGATTTCAGCACAGTCCCCACTGAGCTACACCCAGTGTGGAAGAGTCAAGCCAGGTCCTCAGCACACCTCTGTGCACAGTGAGGACACTGGGTAATCACCCCCTCCTCTGTGCATGTACTCGAGGTGATTTATTTTTAAACTCTGTAATTATCTTGAACACTTTGAATCCAGAGTCAGATCTTTCCCACAGAGCTGTGATGAGTGATGATATATTCCAGCTAGATTTCAATTCAAAAGGCCAAACATGCAGTGCAAATGAATAAGTGCTGATTTTGACTCTCTTTAACACCAGGGATGCTTTTAAAAAGTCAGGTGATCTGTGCTTCAATTAGTTGCTAGGCAGGGAGAAATTTTCCAGGAATGTTTTTACACGTGTATGTGGGGTTAAACACTGCTGAGGCCAAAACTGAGATATGGAAAACACTCCACTGTGCTTTTAAGTGAGCTGCACTATCAAAAGCAGAATTAAAACACAGTTTTGAATGTTTTACTGGCAGAGCTGTAAACCTTTGCACCAGAGTTATCACCTAGAAACTCTTTGTTGATATCCTATTAAGACTTTACAGTGTTGATTTTTCTGAGGCCCATGGTGTTTCTAGAAAACAGTATCAACCTAATTCACTATAAAAATACAGAGTTTTAGTTTTTCTCTTGGCAAAGCACTTCTTTGACAAAATTTTATCACTGATGCTACCTACTGTCTGTCAGCACAGATTAACTGGAACACACCAGGTATTCCTCATTTGTGGAACGTGCTCTTTGCTGTTTCTGTCACTGCAGGCACACACCCGGGAGCCCCTGCCAGAGGCAATGACTGCTCGGTTGTACAATGGGATGAAAAGCATTGACCTGCCTGGAAAATCAGCCGGGCTCAGTGAACAGATTGCCAAGGAGCAGTTTGTAATTTTTATGTCAAACCTCCTAAAAGGGAATGCAGATGAGAAGATTAGCATCATAATGAGAATGATCGCCAGGACGGGAGGGCCTCTGAAGGGCAAACAAATCCAAGAGGTAAACAAGCAGTTAAATGATGTGTGTTGGGGGGACAGTGAGAGAGCAGGGCTGTGGTTAAGAGCCAGCAAGGGCTGTGGTGTGGCTGGTGCTTCTGGGAAGTGAGTAAAATGCTTTCCAAAGCTTTAATTGCAGGATCAACTATGTAACTTTTGAGATATCACAGAACAGTAATTCACTAGCAGCTCCTACACTGCTAAACTTGACCTTCCCCTCCCTCTTTCATTCTCTATTTTATGGAGGTGCTTTGTGAAGTAACATGTATGAAATAGCTTGAAAAGGGATCCTTTTCAAGGCCTATGGCACTCAAATAGCATTTCTGTAGTTCCTGACTTGTCATGGCAAGAGATGTTTCTGCCTTTGGGATTTCAGCATCACTACTGCTTGACTTTATCTTCAGACAGTCCTTTGAAGCCCTTGGAAAATTCACTTAAATACCAAAATGGTGATGTTTTAATCTTTTTAAGTTCACAGAGGATCTGATCACATCTGTAGTCCATGTACTGAGCTACAGGAAGGAGCTGAAGGGTTGGAGTTTGGAGAATACAAGGGATTCTTCAAGTGGAGTCAAAGCTTTGGCTTCTGAGCTGCTCTCAGAGTTGAAGCTTCCAGGTAAGCAGCCCTGATTCAGCTTTTCCCAGAACTTGTGTAATCAGTGATCTCATGAGAATTTCTCTCTTTAGGTCACATCTTTGAATTTTAAGGGGGAAACCAAAACTTTAAACCTAGTGCTTAGAAAATGACATTGGAGTTTTATTTATTTAACCTTACCATTTTTCTCCCCTAAATTCAGGTGAGATTTGATTGAAGTCCTGGTTTGTCATGGAACATGACTATTTTACAAATACCTGAGTTGCAAGTGGTAGGAATGGGCATCTAAATAATATTTATTTAAATAAAATTTATCATGTATTTTTGGCTATATCCTTTTATAAAGCATAGGTCTGTCTTTGCACTGTTGTAATAACAGATCTTGCTGTCTTGTAAAGAACAGTTCATGAGTTGTAGCTTGAAGTCTGTGTTTCTAAATCATGACAGCCCAACCAAAGAATGCCACAGGTAAAGGTTTCTCAGTTTTATGGTTGCATTTGTTTAATGTAGTTGACACTTTACTGTTCATGGCTCCTTTTATATATGGTTTTCTGTCCATTACAGTAATGGACTATTATGTTTACACTTAAAAATCACCTGATTATTTTCCAGACAGGGAGACTTACTCCTCTCCCTGTGTGTCTTATTCTTCAGATGGGACAAAACCCGTGGGTTCTCAGCTGCTGGAGACAAGTTTTGACCAGAGTGTCATTGAGGACTGGGTGTACAGAGTCCCCCAGATCTCAGTTTTCCTCAGTGTTGTCATCAGGCAAGGCCTCCACGTCCTGCATTCCCTCCCAGACCAAACCAACGACATCCTCAACCTGGTTCCTCACTGCAAAGGCATCAAAGGAAGAGGAGTTGTCAGTCTCTTTGACATCCCAGCCATCATCTACATCAACTCCCACCTGCCTGCAGAGATGCAGCACAAGTGGCAGCTTTTATTTTCCTCCAGGCTCCACGGGGAAAGCTTCTCCCAGCTCTGTGCCCATATAGTGAGCAAAGGTCCTTGCATAGTGATCATAAGGGACTTGGATGGTTTCATCTTTGGTGGGTTTGCATCTCACTCCTGGGAGGTGAAGCCTCAGTTTCAAGGTAAAACTCAACTTTTCTTTCTTTAGTGTTTCTGGTAAATTCCCTGGTTTTTGTACAGGCACAAGAATCCTGTTCCCTTGATGGATACTGTCCCTTTAATGACACAAAGTGTTCCTTACACTTCCAAAATAACACTGATTTTCAATATAAAGAATATAAAAGAATATAAAACACATGCAGTTATTCTTAGCATGGCAGTCAGGCATGTTGCTGATTAATATTTATAGTTTTTTTATTTGATAAGGCTTTTGAAATTGCAGGACTTATTGACCACAGAACAAGTTTTCAGGGAAACCTATCAAGCCCTGTAGCTGCTTAGGTTTAAAATTAAATGAAAATGAATGAAGTAGAGCACAGATGATGAATTAGTGTCTAAATAATTTGACCACAGGATGGCAGTCCTCCATCAGGAACACCTGAGCCTCCTCTTGCCATTTGTGCACTGTCTTTGTTCCCCTTGTAAAATCCAGCAGCCGGAGGATTCTTTGGGCAAGCTAAACTTCTTGTTCCCTTAAAACTTTGAGAGAGAAGAGGGGGTTTTTGAAGAACTCTTTGGAAAGAATGTTTGTGATGGATCTGTGAAGAAAAAGCCATGGGCTATGGGTATTTAGTGTTGCTGGGAATCCTCACTGTGGCTACATTAGAAACTCAGTTCATTTCCTAAATGAGTATTTGAAAATTACCACTTCAGACAGTTGGTATGATACTATTTTACTCTGATTACACATCCCTTTTCTTGTATTTTTTCCTGTTAGAGAAACATACAAAGCCTATAGGGCAAGCACACCACAGGTGCCTCTGAATCCTGAACTAGGCATGGTGAAAATTGCTCTAAATCATTGACTGAACTGATTTATCTATCATTGTAGTCAGAACTGGGGATGTCTGCATTCAGTTTGTACAGATCTGTCAGTTGGGCAGTGTTAGGTGATATAATGCAGTCTGGGGTAGGTGACATAGTGACATAATGTCCTAGTGGTGCCTCTGACTGGCCTTGATCACAGCCTGCAATTGCATTGATTTTTGTGACTGCAAAGAGTTCACTGAGAATAAAAAATACATATAAATTTTGATGGGGAATCTACTGGCTTTCTGAGATGGCAGCTGCTGTCTTTGAATTATTCAGCTTAAATTATTTTTTCTAATTTATTTGTTATTTCTTGACCTCTTGTCTGACCTGAGGTGCTTCTCTGTTTGCAGGTGACAACAGATGCTTTCTGTTTTCTGTTTCCCCCACTCTGGCTGTGTACACATACACAGGCTACAATGACCACTACATGTATTTAAACCATGGCCAACAGACTATGCCAAATGGACTTGTAAGTATTCAGAAATGATGATTTGGAAATTGGATTTGTGGTGGTGTTTGGAAGTGTTTTGTGGGTTTTTTACTTTCTGAGAGCAGATTTATTTCACTTGTTATTCTCTGAGGATATTTGCATGCCTGAAGCAGCACAGGACAGTAATCTGTGTAACTGAGGATTTTTCCACTGACTGCTCTCCCTGCCACAGCAACTGCTTTTGGAAATATGGAGGAGAAATCCCAGCAGGATGAGAGTGCAGACATTGCAAGTAGCTGCTGCTGCTGTGTGATGACAGTGGCAGGAGCTGCTCCTGCTCAAGTTCACAAATGAGCTCTCCAGATGCAGAGGAGTTTCTGCAGAGCTACAACACACCACCTGTCCTGGAAATACTTTACAGTTTTGGAGCATTATGTGCCCATAACTTCGGGAATTTCCAGCAGGCTGGAATTAATTTGCTCTAGAAGAAGTGAACAACATCAAATTACATTATTCGATTATTTGATTATTTGGTTTCTCTAGATACTTTCCTAAATGGAAAGGAGGCAGCAAACCTGAGCACTGTTTGAAATGGAACTGTTAATAGTCAATAAACAAAACCCAGGAGTTTAATTTCTGGCACAAGTGACAGATATTTGTATTCTGTGAAGCACAGAGATAGGGCAATATCACTCAGGTAAGTTTTTAGTTGCATCCAAGAATAATTGATGTAGGTATCTCCTTTTTTGACCTTCCCACAGAAGTGTGGCATAAATAGTGACCACAGCAGCTTACTTTCAGGTTTCCTGACTTTCCCATCTGTTTTCCCTGTGCAGGATGTGTTTGATGTGCTGGTTTTCTCCACAGGGCATGGGTGGGCAGCATGGCTACTTTGGGCTCTGGATAGACAGTGACTATGGGAAGGGCCACAGCAAAGCCAAACCTCGCTGCACCACCTACAACAGCCCCCAGCTGTCAGCCAAAGAGGATTTCACCCTGGATGCCATGGAAGTTTGGGCAGTGGGAGATGCCCCTGAGAGTGCAGGGGTAGGTGAAATTGTGAATTGAACCTGTGAAATTGTGTCCTGGTTGGAACAGAAGGTGTGAGTGCAAAGCTCATGGTTGCAGTTTTCTGTTTAAACACTGTCTCTGCATTGTAGTGAATATTTTCTTTACCTGGCCCTGTGATGCCTTGTGTTTTGTAGCACCAAATAGCAGAACTGTAGTGGAATTATTGAGGTTACCATAGAAAGGATATCAGGAGCCATGAGGTGATAGAGTCAGAATTAGCAGTACTTTGAATTTCAAAAGGCCTTTTTGATAATGAGGAATGGTCTCTGGGAGGAACCTCCTTGGAGGGGCTCAGTAAAATCCAGAGTTTCTAAAAGCACTGGAAATTCTCAAGTAAAAGTTCAAGATGAGACCCAAAAGCTTTCTTTATCAGTAATTTTAAATTTACTATTGTTTCACCATAAATTTGTATGAATAGATTTATGCCAGTCCTTTTTCACATGGTTTATTTTTGGGAATGAGAAGAAACCCTCTCTCCAGTTTCCTCTATCCCTGCAATTTATTCTTTTATTAAACTGTCTGGTCTGTACAGTTTGGTGGGGTTTTAAAATTTATTTCTTTTTAATTTTTATTTCTTTTCAAACTAAATTCATGCACCCTGACTTCACTGGATACGTAGCTCTAAATAGAAACAGAGCAAACAGAAAATGTTGAATTGTAACTAGATCTCTTTAGAAACCTCACATCAGCATTTCAGACTGAGATGGGGTTAACCAGGATGTCCTGGATGACTTGTAACCTGAATAAACTTGAAATATCTCAGTGTCATCTTAGGAAGAGTTTATGGCTGCTTTATGTAGCTGAAGCAGTAAAAATCATTTGATGTATTTGTGAATTTTGAAATTGGAAACACATTTTCTCCATTGTGCCAAGCTTGCAGACCACATCCCGTCCCTGTAGCCTGATACGGACCCTTTAAATTGACTGTATTTTATTTTGTTTTGAAGAAGAAAGGTAAGAAGAGTATCCTGGATGTGGATCCTCAGGCTCAGGCCTTGCTGGAAATGGCTGGGAAAAGCCGTCAGAGCGAGGGCCTGCGGGAGCCCGTGGAAGAGGAGGAAGGTGATGATGATGAGAACTAAAGGAGCCACAGTAACATGTAAAAACTTCACTTTTGTTTTCTTCAAGTGCTGGTGATGTTCCTTGGACAAGATATTCCTTTTTTTTCCCTCCTTGAATGTACCTAATTGTCTGGGACAAAGCTGAAGCCTTGTACTTGTGTAATATTTAGGTGTAAAGCACTAATCTGCCTGCAGGGTTTTGTGTGGGGAGGACAGAAAAATTACCTGGGGACATAATCATTAGGCATGGCTGAGCTCCAGCTGAATATGAATCTGCTTCCATTCCCCATAGATCATGTCTGCACACTGAATTAAAAGCAGCAGAAGTTATTGACAGTGTGGCATTCTGTCCTGGAGAATTGATATGTACATAGTTGTATATTTATAAAACCTGTTCCAGGCACTGATTAAAGCTCTTATACCTCAACTGCACATATTTATTTGCATGCAATGGAATTAGTCAGCAAAGCTTACAAACTGTAACAATGTCTTACACTGTTGAACATAGAATAGCCCACATGATGCCATATGAAGGGTGCTATAAATCTGCATTGCTTCAGTTAAAGCATTAAATTTCAAGCTTTCTAAGTCAGATTTTCAGCAGCTGATTCCACATGAGCTGTAGGATGTTACACAACAAGTTTTATAGTACTACACTCTCCCTAGTGCATTTCTCTTCACCTGTTTCTGCAGAAACTTGTCTGTTGCTTTGTAAACTTAGACCAGAATCATTGGAGCCATATTTATCCTAAAAATACCTCCAGCAGAATTCTCTAGAGAAGGTAGATTCTTCAGTGGCCACATGAGACTGGAGTAAAAGATCAGGCTGTAAAACAGGCAGAGTAAGAAGCAGCCACACTTAAATTGAGAATAGAATCTGCAGATACCTTGTGAAAGAAATAAAAATCACGATTTTGTCTGTAAAATGTTTAAAGATGATTGCTGTACACTTTATTTCCACATAATGAATCATTATTATGGAAAGGAATCCCCACAATGCGAAATGCAGTTGTTGGGGTTTGTGCTCTGTTTTGTGACTCTTCACCAGTCAGCACCAGTTTTGTCAGGTCTCTTATACTCAGGACTTTTTCTACTTGAATTAGTTCCCATCTCTCAGTAATTATTAGTTTGACCTTGCTAATTTACTGTGTGCAATTAACTTGTCAAAAATAACCCTGATTTCTAGCAGGGGCTGCAATTTCTAACTCAGCAACAAGTGTTTGGTTATCAGTGTCTCTGACTGTCAGTTTTTCTCCTCCTGAGGAAAAGGATTGTGTCCAATCCCCTTTGTCCTGGCATGAATTTGTCTTCTTTGCAGCTTAGAGAAAAACAATATTATGCTATAATTTCTGCTCATGTGGCCTTCCTTAAAATTCTTTCCCTTGGTGTTTTCTTGTATGAGATTTTTCCCCCACCTGTTGTTTTTCATAGGGAGCCAGATTTGAATATTCTGAACAATCTGCACTTGTGCCTTAACGTAGATCTCATTTGTAAAAATTACATTAAACAACATGAATTTAGTTTTGAAAGGAGAGCATGAACAAATCACTCCAGCCAGGTATCCTGGGACTCAGCTGTGTGTTTTGTGGAGTACCTGAACTAATGCTTGGGGCATTTCCATGCTGTTTGTTGCAGTACAGAGAATGCTGTGAAAGGCCTGGGAGAATGTCCTTTTATGCTGTATTTGCTTAGGGAAACCAGATAATCTCTCAAGTTTGTAACACACAGGAAAAAATTAGCATCAGAACAATTGCACTGATACTTTTGTATAGTTTTCTTCTCTATATATATAAATAATATTAATTTTACAATGTAAGGAGTAGTAAGTACATGATGCTGTCTGTAAGTATTGTGGTAGCAGCTTTTGTTTGAATATTTTCAAACTCCCACCATGAGTCTCAGAGGTCTTTTTCACTTAGCAGTGACTAAGCCTATTAAACACTCCCATGTAGATGGCACACAGGATGAGAGAGTTGAATTTCTGCAGTTAAACATAAAATAATCAGCTAGACTTTATTCTCCTTCCATTACAAGGCAGAAGCTTGTTTTTGAGAACTAAAACCATCTGCAAGGGTATAAAAAACCTGAATTGTACAAAGCTACTCCCCACCAAAAATATTTCAGTGGCCAGGTTTTCTTTGATTTTTAATGAGTATTAGTAAAGCTGTTTCTTTCTAGATTATGAACCCAAAACATAATCCTGTTTGAACTTCATCCTGTGACTATCAGCATAGCATTGTGACCTCTGAAATTGTAATTTTTTGACAAGTTTGTGTCTGAGACTCTTCCTCTTCACTTTGAGGGTGTTAAGCTGGGCCAAGAAGAAAACTGACACTGGCACTTTAGCAGATGTCTCAGTGAAGCATTATTTACTAGGACACCACTGATCCAACCAGCAGATGGGATTATTCCAAATTGTTCTTTAAATGTAAGAGACGAGCTTGGGAAAGACTCAATATTTATTTTAACCTGAACTTAATCATTAAGAAATCTGGGCTTCATGCTCTCGCACCTAAAAATGTCCAGAAAGCTTTTGTCAGCAGTGGGCTTAGCTGTGATCTGAACAGCTCAGTCCCTTCTGTGCAGTTTTGGCCCAGCTGCACAGCCCAACATCCCTGCTCTGTTCCTGACATCTTTATTCTCAGGCTCTTTGGAAGTGAGTCCCTTTCCCATTAAATCCATCCTCTGCTGAGCACTGGGTCTGATCAGCCTTCCCTTCTTGTCCTGCCAGGCACACAGGTACAAAACTGACAGCTGAGGGTTGGCACTTCAGCTCCCTGCTCCTCAGTTTCCTTACTGAGTCAAGGCTGGAAATCTGGGAATTCACAAACACTACAGATTGAAGGAAAAGAAATGCTTCAAGGCAGGTCTTTTCCACTCTTCTAATGAATCATTAAAGGATGGGTCTAAATCACGAGTCTCACTCAGACACTTGTCAGTAACATTTTAAAATGTAGATTTTATTAATAAAAATGATTTTGATTTAAATAAATAAAATTTCAGTTTATGCACAATAGATTTTTCTGTACAAGTGTGAAACTCTTCTTTTGTCTGGGACTAGCTCAGCCTTCTGGAGTAGACATCAGTGTTATAAAAATATACCTGCTCTTGGTTTAAAAAAGGAGCCACTCTGCAGGTTTCTGCAGGCAGCTCACATGGAGGGGGCAGAAGAGCCTCTGGTGTAAGGACTGTTGGTACAGCTGCACTTGAGTACCTTCAGGGAGGATGTGTGGTCACAAGGCCATGGACTGGGATTGTCACAGCTGTGTTCCAGGTGCATTTCAGAGCAGTCTCAGTCAGTTGTGACATCCCCTGGTGTGCTTTGGGGGGCAGCAGTGGTGGATTGGGATTGTCGCAGCTGTGTTCCAGGTGCATTTCAGAGCAGTCTCAGTCAGTTGTGACATCCCCTGGTGTGCTTTGGGGGGCAGCAGCGCTTTTCACAGAGTTTGATGAGCTCGGACACCACGAACACTGAGGAAGCCAGGCCGGTGAGGAACAGCAGGTCTGGGAGAGGAGGGAGTGAGGTGAGCTCAGCTGGGCAGGAATCCCAGCCCAGGGCTTCCCTGCAGCTGGAATTGGGCTGGTGAGCCCCTGTGTGCCCTCCTGTGCCCCTGCCAGCTGAGTTAGGGACAGCACTGCAGCACACAAGGGCCACCCACAGCTGGGACGGTCCCCTTGGAGGGGGGAAACGGGAATCATTTGGGATTCCTGCCCCCTGCTTATGACACAGCACAATGCAGATGGAACACGGTGTGGTAGGGTGCAGTTTGCTGATTGAAATTAAAATCTGTGTTGCATTTCAGCTGGGAAACTGAAGTTTAACGCAGCTCTTTACAAAGGGAGTGTCTGCATAATGATCTGAGAAATATCATCATACAGAGCTGCAAAATCTTGGCATGTCTCAGTTTACGTGCATTTATGTGCAGTAAATCAATATTCAGAATGTAAGTTGGGATAATATGAACTACTTGTGCTATTTGGTACAGCTCTGTGTAAATACACAGAGATTGGAGCTGTTGGTTGATCTCCCCTACCAGTGAGGTGTTGGGAGCTAACAGAGCAAACTGGAAATGGCATCTGCTTTCTAAAGTCACTTTAAGGAAAAAAAACCAAAACAAAAACCAAACCATTATTTATTCTGCAACTTACCTACCACTCCTAAATTCTCTGTCTGAAAGATCTTTTGCAGTGGAGGGATGTAGATAACTGCCAGCTGTCCCAAAAATGAGCCAAGCACGGAATACAAGAACATGCGGTTTCGGAAAAAGCCAATTTCAAATATCAACTTTGTCTAAAAAAGGAAAAAAAAAATTAAAAAGTAGCTTTTCCCAATCACTGTTGGAGCTAAATATCACCTTGTTTCTTTACATTTCATTTCCATTACTTTTAAAGTTAAATAAGCATTAACTTAGAGCTATGTAATTGAAAGTGTAGTTGCACTTGTGATGGATAATATTATCTGTATAAAAAGTTGATAAGAATCATACTGCTTTAAATAACATTAAAAAACCCCTTACTATGCAAAGTGCTGGTATTCTAATGTTTATGTTTGTGATTTGAGACAAGAAATTACTGCTGACAGAGCCATCTCACCTGAGAGCGACATGTCAGGGCATTGAAGAGGTCAAAAAACACAAAACAGGTGAAAGTCATTGTTGTGGTTCGAGGAGTTATGCCCCCTTTTGGATTCTGGAAGCACACAAAAATTCATGGGTTAGTTTAACCTTTCAAAAATATTCCAATTCAATAGAAGAATTAAATGTTCCCTTTAATGAGCCCAGTCAAATCACAGGGTAGTAAAACAAAAGAGTAAATGTAGTTCTAGCTATTGTAGGTAGCATTCAGTTCTCTCTGCTAATTTTAAAGTTTATGATCTTATCAACCATACTCTAAATTCTTAAACTGATGTGGACTTTGAGTAAAGAACATCCTAAATTAAATTACTGAAACTTAAAGTACCAACAGCAATCCATTGTACTCGGCATTTTCTGCTGGGAAAATGGAAAGGTGGAGGTGAAAAGTCCCTTAAAGTATTGATTAAGTAATAGTTTTCCCATTCTGGATTGGAAGGCCCAAATTAGAGGTAACAGAGGGAGGCAGGAGCAGAGCTGGGAGCTGACCCTGCTCTCTCAGCCCTCTGCCCACACTGATCCTTCCCAATGGGGTGGATTCCAGAAAATCCTTCTCATGTCCTTCAGAAACTGCCCTCACTTTGTGCTCCACCCACCCTGATGGAAACCAGATCCGAGTGCAGATTTCCCTCACCTCCTTCCAGAAGACAAAGAGGGTTCCGCTGATGATGATGATTGCTGACATGAAGATTTTCAGGATCAGGGATTTGCTGAGGATGGTGTCTGTGATGCACCTCGGGGGCTGCTTGATGGTGTCCCTGTCAACAGGTTCAACCCCCAAGCTGCCTCCAAGAGAAGCAGAGGGATGTGTTAATTAATGCAGGGTCCCAAAATGTTCATCCTGAGAAACCAGGATGGAGCTGGAGGGTGCAGTTCTTTGGGACACAGTGTGAATATTCAAAAAAGGTGACATAAGGCCCAAATTTGTCCATGTCACTGATACCAAAGGTCTTTTCTGCATATTGAGCTGCTAAAATAACATTAAATCATCAGACCACCCCAGAGTGAGACTGAGCATAATGTGGAAGCTGTAATTGTATTTAGCTGTAGCTGTAATTGGCAGTTGGATGAGGTTCCTAAGTCTTGTGATTTTGGGGCATATCCCCACTATTCCCTGGTGGTATTTTCAGGATAACAGGCCATTGCTAGTCAAAAAAGGAATAGTTAAGTGATTCTACATAAA